TTTTTTAATATACTTTAAAATATAATGTATTTCTGTGATCAAAGCTGAATTTTCTCCAGCCATTACTCCAGTCTTCAGTGTCACATGATCCTTCAGAAATCATTCTAATATGCTGATTTGATACTCTGTTATTATCAGTGTTGGAAATGGTTGTGCTGCTTAATATTTTCTTGTAATCTCTGATCATTTTTTTCTGGATTCATTAAGGAACTAAAAAGATTTGGAATGACATGAGGGCGAGTAAATTATGACAATTTTCATTTTTGGTTGAAGTATCCCTTTAAAGGAACACAATCCCTTTGGGAACACAAATTATGATAATTTTTGGATGTAATCCGAGAGCTCTCTGACCTTCCATAGACAGCAAGGGTACTACTACGGCGAAGGCACAGAAATGTAGTAAGGACATTGTTAAAATGGTCCATGGACTATTTTAACGATGTCCTTACTATGTTTTTGTGCCTTGACTGTGGTAGGACCCTTGCTGTCTATGAAGGGTCAGAGAGCTTTCAGATTTCATCAACAATATTTTAATTTGTGTTCCGAAGATGAGCAAAGGTCTTACATGTTTGAAACGACATGAGTGTGAGTAAATAATGACAGTTTTTATTTTTGGGTGAAAACAAACGTGTGTACTTTTATCTTTATTACTCCATACCACAACTGGGAAGCCAGGGAAGCCATATCTTTCCACAGACTCTTGGAAGAAGGTCAGCGCAGTCAATGCTGAATTGGGGCCAAGGTAGCCAAGGTACATTATCTGTAGAATTAGAAATAGCGTTGTTAGTTCTATTTATCTGGTACATTAACAATTCCAATGTTGCGTTATACTGTACAACAAAAACAAAATCACCTTACGTGAAAAGCCATCCACCCCTCCAAACAAGACAATGTTATACCTGAAACCAAAGGCATTAGATTAGTGTTCTCAATTCTGGCCCTCGAGATCCACTCTATAGCAGAGTTTACCTCCAATCTTGATTGACTCACCTACCTATTATTTTCTAGTAATCCTAGTGAAGACCTTGATTAGCTTGTTCACATGTGTTTGACTAGGGTTGGAGCTTAACTTTGCAGGAAAATAGACCTCAAGGGCCAGAGTTTGAGAACCGCTACATCAGACAGAAGTTTCCATCTTAAGACAATACTGTTAAAATTAATATGTTGAGTAACAACAACATATAAACTTACCTTATCAATTTGTGATTGGTGTCTATGTGCATCATAGATCTGGGCCCTGGGACTGAATACCTCCTCCGGACAACACAACCCAGCTCTGTCATCCTGGATAAAACTCCTAGTGTGTCTACTCGATGCAGCGATGCCCTCACTCGCTCATATTGTACCTTGTGACCTTCAGCTTTTAAAGCTCCCTTTACCATCCTGTATCCAGAATTTGGCATTCGTGACGGATATTTGCAGTCTAAGAATTCAGAACAAAAAAATCTGTTGTTTGAAAATACATGTCTATAAAACTCTGCCTTAAAAAAAATCATTTGTGTTAAATTTCAAATGTTAAATATTCAAGTAAAAAAAAATCAAATTTAAAATCAAAATCAAATTCAAAACGATTTTAAATCCCACATAATATTCAGTTTTGTTAAATAACACTTGTCAATAATTCAAATTTAACACAATTCAAATTCAAATTGTTTTGTCATAAAATTTAGCGACGGTCGGGTCGGGAAGAAAAGTATTCTAAGCGGACAGCGGTGACCAACGAATGAATATATAGCAGGAGCGGGTGGGTGCGGAATAGAATCTTGCGGGAGCGACCGGGAGCGGGACTAAAAAAACAGCAGACCTCTACTTCTAACATTGCATGCAAAAACTAACTCTAGCTGTAAATGAAGCTTTGCAGCATATGCATTCTTTGAATTGAAGTTTTACAGCATATGCATGCGTTCAAGCATGAACTAGCTCAGCTCAACTTACTACATCATATGCATTATATTTATTGCATGCATGGACTAAATCAACTCAACTAACTAGAGCATATGCATTGCATGCATGAACCTCAACTAGTAAATACAGAATATGCATTGCATTGCGTGCATGATCAGACTCAACTCAAGTAAATACAGCATATGAAATATTTTAATTGCATGGATAAACTAGCTATAGCTTGAAAAGACGTTTTACAGCATATACATGCTTTGTATGCAAGCTTTACAGCGTATGCATGCTTTGTAATGCTTAGAAACACTAACATTCTCTTTCTGTGCATAGAAGGTCTAACATATTCTTGTTATGCATGAAGCCTCTAACATTGGAGAACAAGGTACGTGCAGAAAAATTAAGAAATTATTTCAAATGAAAGAACCTCCGTTAGAACGTGAAAGCATATGCATGCTTTGTATTGCATGCATGAACTATCTGAACTCAAGCAACTGCAGCATATGCACGCTTTGTTTTGCATGCATAACTCTCACCGGAAAAGATTTACAACATCTCAACTCAACTAACTACAGCATATGCATGAGTTGCATTGCATGCATGAACTAGCTCAACTCAAGTAAATACAGCATATGCATGCATGAACTAACTCAACTCTAGGAAAGAGAGCATATGCATTGCATTGCATGCATGAACTAATTCAACTCAAATAAATACAGCGTCTGCATGCATTGTATTGCATGCATGAACTAACTTTAGCAGGAAAAGAAGCTTTACAGCATATGCATGCTTTGTATTGAAACTTTACATCATATGAATGCTCTGTTTTACATGCATTAACTATCTCAACTCAACTAACTACAGCATATGAATGCTTGGTGATGCTTAGAAACACTAACATTGCATTTCTGTTCATAAAAGCTCTAACATATTTTTGTTATGCATGAAGCCTCTAACAGCTGAGAGCAATGTACAAGTATTGAAATTAAGAACGTGTTTCAAATGTAACAAACACCTTTAGAAAGTGCAAGCTGAACATCTAACATTGCATGCATGAAAAACTCAACTCTAGTAAAGAGAGCATATGCATTGCATTGCATGCATGAACTATCTCAACTCAAGTAAATACAACATTCTTTGAATTGAAGTTGTACACAATATACATGCTTTGTATTGCATGCATGAACTAACCATTGCTTGAAAAGAAGCTTTACAGCATATGTAAGCTTTATAGTCGAGCTTTACAGGAGATGCATGCTTTGTAATGCTAGGAAACACTAACATTCCCTTTCAGTGCATAGCAGCTCGAGCATATTCTTGTTATGCATCAAACCTCTAACTCCTGAGAACAATGTATATGCATTGAAATTAAGAACTTCTTTCGAATGTAAGAAACACCTTTACGATGTGCAAGCTGTACTTCTAACATTGAATGCATGAACTAACTTTAGCTGGAAACGAAGCCTTACAGAGTATGCATTCTTTGAATTGAAGTTTTACAGTGGAATGAAATGAAACATTCCATTTCTGTGCATAAAAGCTCTAACATATTTTGTTATGCATGAAACCACTACAACACAACAACGTGTTTCAAATCTAACAAACACCTTTAGAAAGTGGAAGCTGTACATCTAACACTGCATATATGAACTAACTTTAGCTGGAAATAGAGCTTTACACTAACATTGCATACATTCTTTGAATTTAAGCTTTACAGCATATGCATGCTTTGTATTACATCCAGGAACTATCTCAACTCAAATAAGTACAGCATATGAAAGCTTTGTTTTGCATGCATGAAATAACTCTAACAGAAAAAAGATTTACAACATATACATTCTTTGAGAATTGAAGTTTTACACAATATGCATGCTTTGTAATGCATGCATGAACTATCTAAACTCAACTAACTACAGCAGATGCCTGCTTTGCATTGAGTGCATGAACTAACTCACTTCAAGTAAATACAGCATATGCATGCTTTGTATTGCATGCATGACCTAACCATCTCTGGAAAAGAAGCATTACAGCATATGCATGCTTTGTAGTCGAGCTTTACAGCAGATACATGCTTTGTAATGCTAGGAAACACTAACATTCCCTTTCAGTGCATTGCAGCTCGAACATATTCTTGTTATGCATCAAACCTCTAACACCTGAGAACAATGTATATGCATTGAAATTGAGAACTTTTTTCGAATGTAAGAAACATCTTTACAAAGTGCAAGCTGTACTTCTAACATGCCTGAACTAACTTTATCTGGAAATGAAGATTTACAGCGTATGCATTCTTTGAACTGAAATTTTACAGAATATGTATGCTTTGTATTGAAACGTTACACCATATGCATGTTTTATTTTGCATGCATGGAATAATTCTCACTGCAAAATAAGTTTTACTGTATATGCACTCTTTGAATTGAAGTTTAACACAATATGCATGCATTGTATTGAAGCTTTACAGCATATGTATGCTTTGTGTTGCATGCATGAAATACCTCTGACTGGAAAAGAAGATTTACAACATATGCATTGTTTGAATTGAAGTTTTACACAATATGCATGCTTTGTATTGCAAGCATGAACTATCTCAACTCAACTAACTACAGCATATGCATGCTATTGCACTGCATGCATGAACAAACTCAACTCTAGTAAAGACAGCGTATGCATTGCATTGCATGCATGAACTAACTCAGCTCAAATAAATACAGCGGATGCAATCTTTGAATTGAAGTTTGTATTGCATGCATGAACTAATCATTGTTGGAAAAGACGCTTTACAGCATATGCAAGCTTTATAATCCAGCTTTACAGCAGATGCATGCGTTGTAATGCTAGGAAACACTAACATTCCCTTTCAGTGCATTGCAGCTCGAACATATTCTTGTTATGCATCAAACCTCTAACACCTGAGAACAATGTAGAACAAAGGAGACATGCAAAATGTGCAGTGTTGGGGGGCCTCCAGGACCGTGGTTGGGAACCACTGAACTACTGCATATACCTGCTTTGTATTGAGTGCATGAACAAACTCACCTCAAGTAAATACAGCATTTGCATGCTTTGTAGTCGAGCTTTACAGCAGATGCATGCTTTGTAATGCTAGGACTAACATTTCCTTTCAGTGCATAGCAGCACGAACATATTCTTGTTATGCATCAAACTTCTAACAACTGAGAACAATGTATATGCATTGAAATTGAGAACTTCTTTCGAATGCAAGAAACATCTTTACAAAGTGCAAGCTGTACTTCTAACATGCATGAACTAACTTTATCGGGAAATTAAGCTTTACAGAGTATGCATTCTTTGAATTGAAGCTTTACTTTACTTACTTTACTTTTAGTCGTTTGGCAGAGGCTTTTATCCAAAGCGACTTACAAATAAGAAAAAGTAATTAAAACTAAAAGCTAAAACTCTATAAATACTATATA